GCCAGTTGACCCGACAGTCATGTCTTTGGGAGGCAGGTGGAAACTAAGAAACCTGGAGGAAACCAGAGTGTGTACAGGATAAGAACATGCAAACACGGAAATGCACACAGCCTAGTCCAGAATCGAACCCAGGACACAGTGAAAGGCCACTCTTCTTTAATTTCCTTGAAGGAAGAGACAGCTGTGAGCCATCCATGTCGATTACCTCTCAATCAGCCACTCTTCTGAAGAAACATGTAAACAAAGGGCTGCATGAAATAAGCAGTATAAAATCATCTTTATAAAAGATAAAATGGTGAAACAGTGTACGTTTAGTTATTTTTTCCGTGAACTGAGGAGTGATTTGAACTTACCTGTCCTAACAGAACTGCAAGGTGTATATTTAACACTGAATTACCAATCCGGTTTTGTTGAAAAGTTGAAAATTGAACTGTACTATTCTACTTGGCAAAGATGAATTCTGGTATGAGTGAAGATCGCGTATTATTCTCTTTTTCCGATGAATAGTTTGAGCTTGAAATGTGAGGTTGTGAAACTTAATGTACATTGCAAAATACAAATAAATGTGAGCAGGATTGTGTTTTTTTTTTTATTCAGGTTGTTGCAACCCTTCAGTCCTGTCTGAGCAGAGAGGATTATTTGTCATGTCTCGGGCAAGCATCTGGTCTGAGGTAGGAGGATATGACTGCAAATGGTTTAAATCTTTGTGTGGATCTGTGTTTTCCACTCTATAATCCTTTGTTGGCTGGAATGACTAAATCGGTAATACTGCATCGCTGAATTTCTGTAGTTTTCTCTAACTTTAACCGTTTTTTTAGCTCCAAAAGATTCTTCTAAGACCTGTACCTTCTCGGTTTTCTTTACTGTCCTTGTTTCAGGAACGGAGCACTGTAGATCATGAGCAGTTGTGTAAGTGTAGTTTTTGGAGTCACCATCTTGTTTGTCTAGTGTTTGTATGTTCTTTTACTCCATGTGAATCTCCCCCTTGGGGATTAATGAAGTATATCCCATTGCTCTTGTTCATCGTATTCGGCGTTAACCTGGCTTTTGGAGATGGTGGGCCTGGGGCT